CCATCATTACCATCATCGTCATCACCATCATTACCATCATCGTCATCACCATCATTACCATCATCGTCATCACCATCATTACCATCATCGTCATCGCCATCATCGTCATCATCATCGCCATCATCGTCATCACCATCATTACCATCATCGTCATCACCATCATCACCATCATTACCATTATCACCATCATTACCATCATCGTCATCACCATCATCGTCATCACCATCATTACCATCATCGTCATCACCATCATCACCATCATTACCGTCATCACCATCATTACCATCATCGTCATCACCATCATCATCTTTATCATGATACTTCAAAAGATCCTACTTGGATTATATACTGTCTGTATTAGTTATATATGCTTGTTGTTGTAAGGTGGAGCCGCTTTGGACCTGAGGGCCTGTCCTCCGAAGCCATTCAAATGGATAACTGACATGACGTGGCTTAACTTAGTAGAGCTTAGCAAGTTACCCCAGTTTTCAGGCGTTTTAGATCAGGTTGGTGGATAGACAGGGAGAGTGGATGGTAGAGAGTCGAAGCAAGAGATATCGATACAAAAAGACAGACACAGAGTTAGAGAGAGGAAAAGAGAGTTTAGCCAGTCAATAATCTGTTCATGTTTAATACCTGTTCATCTCCAATGTTTTCTTAAGGTTCGTCGTAACGACAGTGGATGGAGGGGTTGGTTTGATAAGGATGCACCTGAAGAGAACCCCATTCCAGATGGATATCAGACGTCTCTTGATACGTTCCGCAAGCTATTGCTCGTAAGGTAATAATATACTCAGCATTCCATAGGGGAGTGAAGACAAAAGCTAAAGAACCTTAGTTGGGAGCCCGTCTATATTTATCTGTTTAAATTTGTATCGTAGGTCTTGGTGTCCCGACCGTACCCTCCCACAGGCACGTAAATACATCGCCGACACGATGGGAGAGAAATATGCTGAAGGCATATATTTATCTGTTTAAATTTGCATTGTAGATCTTGGTGTCCCGACCGTACCCTCCCACAGGCACGTAAATACATCGCCGACACGATGGGAGAGAAATATGCTGAAGGAGTCATTCTCAACCTTGAAGCCACTTGGGAAGAGAGCGACATACATACACCATTGATCTGCTTCTTGTCTATGGGATCTGATCCCACTGGATCCATTGAGTCGTTAGCTAAAAGGAAGGGATTCGGTAAAAAAAATGCAATATCATCGTTCTATCCCTATCTTTGTGCCTTTTTCCCTAATAAAAATTTCCTAACTCTAAAATAGAAGACACCCCTTCGTTTTATAGCCATGAAATGCTACAATGAACCAAATCCACTTGGGCGCATTGTTTTGCCCATTTCAGACCACGTCATTCCCTTGAGAGTACGATTTTTTGTTTGAGTTGTATCCATATTCATATGTCTTCTCATGCGCAACCGTCAAACAAAGAAATGATACTCTAGGGAATGACACGTGGTCTGAAATGTGAAAGCACTGGATTAGGATTTAAAACCAAGGATTGATCCTCCAACCCCCCGCACTAACCAACAATAAACTGAGGACACCCTTACCACAGGAAACTCTCTTCGAGAAATTTATACAAAACCTAAAGCAGTGTCTTTGAGCAAATGTCACAATTAAAATGTTCTGTGTTCGTAGAATGCCGTGCGGTGTCCATGGGACAAGGTCAAGAAGTACATGCCCGTCGCCTGATCCAGCAATCAATGGCCGGTGTAAGTAACAACTTATTATTCCCAGGGCATTAATAGATTGGGGAATGTTCGTCTTACCCGTGTTCGTGTTCTAGGGTGGCTGGGTGTTGCTACAGAACTGCCATCTTGGACTGAACTTCTTGGATGAACTGTTAGAGACTGTCACGAACATTGAACACGCACATGAGACTTTCCGAGTCTGGATCACCACCGAGGGTCACCCACAGTTCCCCATCAGCTTACTGCAAGTAAGTAGAAATATTTTCATTTTTTGTCATTTTCTTACAGTCGAATAAATTGGCAGTCATGTTGGTGGTATTTAAGACAATATTCACATCGGTCTTTATCAATAATGTTAAGGCCACGAACATCGCAGTCACATCTTCGGACACCCCTTGGTAATGGTTGCAAAACATCTATCATAAGCCTTTCTGAGTTCGATAAACATGGTGCATTGTGGTCTAGCTTGGGTACAAACAATACCATTAAAGTTAAAAAAAGTCAACGAGTGTAACGACGCGTGCACAAAAATTGCAAAAATGCTTTTTTTTTACCGATCTCCGTCATTGATGGAGCAATTTGCTAGAGTGAAGTGTAGCCCTTTAAGCGAGATCTAGTAAAAGATCATTGTAACAGTGTTTTATATATGTATTCAGTCTTCCATCAAGTTTACAAACGAGCCGCCACAAGGCGTGAAACCGGGTCTGAAGAGAACCTATGCAGGGATCACTCAAGATCAACTGGATATCAACAATATGATGCAGTGGAAGCCTATGTTATGTGCTGTGGCATTCCTGCATACTGTAGTACAGGTATCATTCACACGATACAGTCCTTTTATAGTCCATGGCAGAACCCTGCCATATCTTAGGTATTAATTATAGACTTTAGCTTGGTTGCGTTTTTTTTTTCCACTCCAGAGACGTCTTATTCTTTTGAGAATAAGATCTTTTGGTGAATCTCATTCATACGCCAAGAAATAATATTCAAGTGAATGATAACATGTGGTCCGAAATGGGAAATCATTGAAGCAAGATAAATATGGTGTATCCTGTCCCGCCTGCGAAAAAAAATGCTTCCTTCTTCCCCTGGTAATCTTACCCCATTACCTAATGATAACTAATAATGATAACTAATGATATATCTCTTATGCTCAATACTTATTTCTAGGAAAGGCGCAAGTTTGGTCCGCTTGGTTGGAACATCCCATACGAATTCAACCAGGCAGACTTCACGGCTAGTGTACAGTTCATTCAGAACCACTTGGATGATGTGGATCCTAAAAAGGTTACCCCATATTCAATGGTTTTATTGTAATTACATCAAACTGCATGCATAGTTTCCACGCGGTGGGAAACGTGCGATACCTAGCTTTTGAAACGGCTTTCTCCCTGGACCAGTTAAATCACCAGAAAATATATCAGCTACAATAAACTGCAATGCCAACTTTTTCCTCAACCTGAGATTGGCTAATACCATGTGAAATGCATACCTTTCCCCCCCCCCCCCCCCCGTACCAAATGCCCTTGGATGTTTGCTGTATATATTTTTTGTCGTAATTTAGAAATCAAGTTATCAAGCAAGCCTATAGTTGAAAGTTGATCTCTTCTTTCTTAGGGTATTTCCTGGAACACTGTACGATATATGCTGGGAGAGGTACAGTATGGTGGCAGAGTAACCGACGACTATGACAAGAGGTTACTAAACACTTTTTCAAAGGTAGAGTTTGAGTAGATGTTGCAATGTACGGACATTCCATGACTGTTAGCATTCGTATGTAAATATGATGAGCGCTGATCTTGCGCACTGTAATTGATTCATTACATTATCAATACCATACATTACCTTTACCGTGCCTTGTTATTATGGAGCGGTTTTCGTATRATACGACAAATTCGTAGGCGTAATTGACCGTGATGCAGCCGTACCGTGACTTGACGTAGCCGTATCTACACGTTGTGGTTGGACAGATCACTGGAAAACAATAGGAAGCCATTTCAATGTTATGGCATGTCGTACCGTGTACGTGCTGTAAATCAGTACCGTACGTTCACAGTTTCGACACAGTTTCGACAAAGCCGAGGGCGATACAAATGGCTTATCTTTTTTTTTCAATCGAAGGTATGGTTTGGAGAGCATATGTTTGTCGACAGCTTCAACTTCTACATTGGCTATCCCATCCCTAAGTGCAAGACCTTGGATCAATTTATGGAAGCCATCCAAGCCATGCCATCCTCTGACACACCACAAGTGTTTGGCTTGCATCCTAACGCTGATATCACGTAAGATAATCAAGTGCATTGTTTTGATTATAGTATACATTTATAATGGATCTGGAACTTTGAAAAGGGTGGGCTTAAAGAGCACATGCTTGATAGTGAATATTTATACATATGTTTAGTTACCAAAGCAATACTGCCAAGGAAGTACTCGATACAATCATGAGCATCCAACCCAAAGACAGTGGGGGTGGTGGCGGGGAGACTCGAGAGAGTATTGTCATGCGTTTGGCATCAGACATGCTGGAGAAGCTACCGGACGATTACATTCCACACGAGGTAAGCAGCAGGCATCGCCCATGTGATCACAGGGGACACGGGCGGATTCTAGTGCTATATGAATACTGCACATGTAGCTATCCAATGGTATACCCATGTACATGTGTCTGTCTTGTATGATTAGATCTGCCTGTCCATACCATGTGTCTTTCAACCTTAACACACTTTCTAATGCTCTCTATACAAGCAGTCTTCATCAAGAGGAATCTTTATCATGATCCCCTTGCTCGATCATATAACAGTAGTATATAACAAGAAAAAGTTGTAGCCAGTGATAAAATCAAACTGATGAGTAATTTCTTATACATCTATTTAGGTACGAGCTAGACTGCAGAAGATGGGAGCCCTGGCATCCATGAACATATTTTTACGACAAGAGATTGATCGCATGCAGCGAGTCATCACCCTTGTCAGACACACCCTGACTGACCTCCAGCTTGCTATAGAGGGCACCATCATCATGAGCGAGGTAACAACAATCCTTCACCATCTAAACTGCTCCGCTTCTCAGTGTCAATGTGGCTATAAATACCTGTTCTGTTTCTTGTTCTGTTTGCTTTTAGAACCTTCGTGACGCACTGGACAACATGTATGATGCCCGGGTACCAGCCTTATGGAGGAAGGTACGCATTATTTACTCCCTACCCATCCCATCCCACTGTCCACAAATTTATCTCAGTGAGCATTTACAAATTTTACCACCACCATTCCTGGGTTCCCCTATCCCTCCTCCCTCCCTCCCCCTCCCCATTTTCTTTACGCATAAAATAAATTATAATTGAAAAGTGTTTAAAACTCAATAATTTATATAGAGTATACTTACGTATGTATACCTATGATTTAATATTTATCACTATATTATTAATACACACACTTATTTATACATTTACATATATTTATATTTATTCGAAACCAAGTTTACGTACCGATCAGTTCAATATTCCAAATAAATGTCCGTCCGTCTGTCTGTCTAATTTTTTAAATGTCATATCTTGTAATCTTGTTCGTATTGATCAGATTTCCTGGGAATCTTCCACCCTTGGGTTTTGGTTCACCGAGCTGATCGAGCGCAACACGCAGTTCTCCGCCTGGCTATTCCAGGGTCGTCCCAATACCTTCTGGATGACCGGRTTCTTTAATCCACAAGGTTTCCTTACAGCCATGAGACAAGAGGTAACACGTGCTCACAAGGGCTGGGCCCTAGACTCAGTGGTACTCCATAATGACGTCATCAAACAGATGAAAGAGGATATTACGTCACCACCAGTTGTAAGTTTATTTTCACATCATGTTGCTCACTGTGTACGATGGCTCTTTCTCTCCCTCTCTCAGCTGTCTGTGAATTCGGACTCTTTTTTCGTTTATTTTCACTTCATTTTATTCACTGTGTTGTTTTTCATCTCTTCAGGAGGGTGTGTATGTATATGGCCTGTTCCTTGATGGAGCCAGTTGGGATCGTCGTGGCTGTAAACTCGTAGAGTCCCAGCCTAAAGTGCTGTTCACCCCTCTACCCGTGGTCCATGTGTATGCAGTTAATTCTACAGCACCGAAAGACCCACGCCTGTACCAGTGTCCTGTCTACAAGAAACCACAGCGTACAGACTTGACTTACATCACCCCCCTGTGGCTTAAAACGGTACAAAGTCCCGATCACTGGATCATGAGGGGTGTGGCATTACTGTGTGATATCAAATGATACCTTTTAACTACTCGTTTTCTTCTCTCTGCATTTCGTCAGTTTTTGAGCAGATTTTTAGTAAAGTCATGTTCGATTTATTTCACCTAGTACTTTCTTCCAAAAAAAGTTGTAAACAACCTAAAAAGAAAATCTTCTAGCATTAGAAGAATGGTGCTTCATTAAAACATTTAAGCAAATCCGTCACCAGTGTGGATTATTTCTTGTCATAACAAACATCCAATTTTAAATTCTTGGCGCGTTGCGCAATAGTTCCTTTGAGTAATAGTAAAAACTCCGTAAAAAATTGTCTCACTACTGATGCCCTGCTGAACCCATTTGTGTTTGCGTGATCAGTATGTACTATTTAATATTTTGTAAGGATTTTAATTTTGCAAAAAAAAAAACCTCGCGGTTAAAAACAAAACGCGTACCGTGACCATGACACTACTTCCCGTACGAGTTATACTAAGTGGTCACGGTGTTGTATACTGTGGCTTCTCACACTCATCCAAATATTCTAATATTTTCTGCGTATGCCTTCAGTGAAAAGAAAAAAAAAATCGAAAAAGTGCAGCCGAATCAAATGACGATTGGGATCCCTGTGTTGATTTTGAACGAGGCACCCGCAAAGATATATGGGAAGATYATGGCGGTAAGATCCAAAATGGCGGACAAAAACAACAAGAACAAAGATTCTTTCTCTTCAAAATATTGAGCGAAAACCTTTGGTTTGAAGAAAAATATGTCAGAAGAAGGATAAGAAAAGCAATGGCCGGGGCAAGATCAGATTTGTTCAAATGGAAGAGGCAAACTAAGCCTTCATCGGTAAGGAYTTCTTGTTGTCATTGGTGATTGTTTATGAACAGTTCACAGAGTTTTTAGATCTTTTTCTTTTAGTTCAACAGTGGCAGTAACATAAAGACTTGGATTAAGGTACAATATACTATAACTAGGCTGTAAATCGTAGATAACAGGACTCTTTAGATAGCTGTAAATTTTAAATTATTCAGTTAAATAAGTTAAATTCATTTTATTTTTTATTGGATGGATGGAATGTAGAATGTCCAACGAGCTTCAGACGAAGCAGCCCGGGAAGTGTTCGGTGAAGGATATCATGGTGTTCTGGATCAAGTTTACGCAGATGATGATGCTCTATCAGAAGGTAAAATCTTCAAGCACATCTAAATCAGCTGTTTTCTACAGTTTTAGATTAGGCCAAACAAAAATATAAGTGTGTTTCCTGTTGCGTGAGAAAAATAATTGGGGTCGGTAGGTCAGATTTGTTTTACTGATACAACAGTGGAAATGAGCTTACTGGGAACCCTGTGGTGCATTTGGGAATGAAAAAATATTAGGGTTGGCAAAAATYGGCAAGAAAATTAGGGTTGGTTGCAYAACAGGAAACACACTTATTTCTTTGTTTGGCTTTAAGTTTGTGTATTTCAAATTTTGGTCTTTATTGTCCAGCTCAAGATCTTCTCAACTCATGGGTACAAGAAAAAACCCTTAAAACGATTGAACCTGAGCTGGAATTTTATGATGAGAAGTGGGCATTTCACCCTTTGACTCAACCAAACCCCAAGACAAGAAAACAAGATCTAACTGCATCAGGGAGTGATTATGCACTTGGTTATGGGGCGTTGAATGACAACCACACATATACAGAGTTGTCTTCACAGTTTCCAAAACTAGGTACAGGTATGTTCCTTTAGTCTTTGGAATAAATTGCAAAAGAATGTACATATAGAAAAAAGAAAGTTCAACATAAAGGACTGTTTATGAATAACGTTGCAGATGGGGGAAGGGGGGTACTACTTTTTTATGGGAGGAGGGAAGAATATTTTTGTGAGTGTACGTACTTCCCTTTCAAAACATTGTGTAAATTTGAACCCCCCCTTCCCACTATTTGTCTTAAAAAGTTTACCCTCCCTTTATTCCTCAAAAACAAAGTTTAACCCCCTCAAATAATGTTTTTTCAAAAATATACTCCTCCATTTAAATTACAACCCCCCACCCCCCCCCCTGTGCCGTAATAAACAAACAGTTCTTAATAATAAAGAAAAAACTTGTCATGTTGTATGTTCTTGTAAGGAATGAATATCATATACCTACTTTATTTTTCTGCTGAAGGTATTGATTATGATGAGGAACTGGATGAAGAAATTGCAGTCCAAGAGGTTGTTCGTAATATGCTGGACAAGAAAGTAGTGAAGGATGACTTCTTAAGTGATTTAGGATTTGATAGCAAAAAGAATAGAAGAGATCCGAGAACCAAGATGGAACTGAGACATAAACAGGTATTCTTAATCTCCAGTTTTCATCTGTCTGCAAAACCCAGCAAACTAAATCTGTGAGTTACAGTACTCTGACTTTGATTAGCCTAGAGGTTGTTGACTTCATATTATTGGCATGATCTAGGTAAGAGAAAAGAGTGAAAGTAGAAGACGAGACTTGGAGAAGGAGCGAAGAGAAAAAGCAGCGCAGAAAGAGGCACAGCGTCTTGCAAGACAGCAACTTCTACAAGAAGAGAAAGAAAGGCAAGTAAAGGCAAAGAGAGAGGAAATGAAGCTGCAAAAGGAAATGAATAAAATACGGAAAGCTATGGAAGAGGAACAAAGAATGAAGAAAGAGCAGAAGGAGAGGTAAAACAAAAGAGATACTAGTTTCTTTGATTCCTATAATGGTAAAATCTGTGGCCTTTCTTTCTGGATGTTCTCACTAGAKTGATAACTTTGACCATAGCAATTCCTGTTTCCAATATCCACCATTTCTATGTCTGATGCTCAGAAATTTAGCAAGAATATTGCAGAATTTAGAACACTGATTATGAGACCAAAGCTGAATAGACTTTTAATTTTGTTAAGTTTTTAATGTCCCAAGAAAATAAGAGTTACCCCTGTAGTACCCTTGAAAACAGGTCAATTTTTATTGGTTTCTGGGACAATATCCATGATTACACCYGAGAAAACTGCCCCAACAATAACTGCTTTGTTTTGTCTGTGTCGGAACGAAGTATGACTTTTATTTAACATATTTATGCAAAAGGTTTTTGGATCACTGATAGCATTTGCCTATGTTTATATGTGTAGGAACAATGTTTGACTCTTATTTAACATATTTATGTAAAAGGTTTTTGGATCACTGATAGCATTTGTCTAATGCTTCAATTTAGGGAACAGCTCTTGGCAGCTGAAGCAAGGGCTATGGTTCAGGATRAAATGAAACAAGAACAGAAAATAAAACAAAAAAAGCAAAGGGAAGATAAAGAGGCAACTGAAGAAATGAGAAGACTGTTACTCAAACAGATGGAAGAGAAGGCTGCAGAGGAAGCTCGCAGCAACTTGAGGGTATCAGACTCGTTAAATGTTTTCCCCTATCTTGGCTTTCACTAACTATAATCATAGTCAGTTTGTGTAGAGATGTTCAGATGTTCATTGTGTGGTTTCTAAAGCATAGCATGTTGTCAGAGATGGCACTTGAATTTTTATTCCTGGTTCTTGGGGCCCGTGTAACTGTTTACATTTGGGTCCCAAGTATCATGTTGGCGGTGCCAATCAATATTTAGGAAGCCCTTGTCAACACTAGTGAAGTTTCAGAGTCCTGAGACAGTCACATATTTGTGCACATGTGTCATCGCTTTATTGGAGAAGCCCATCAAAATTGTGAAAATTGTTTTGTTCTATTTTGTGTAAAAATGCACTATTTCTGCATTTTACATGATCACTATGTGAAGCTTCTGTTTTAATACAATCCCTGTATTTTGTAGCTTTTCCAGAAGTATTTTTCGGCCTGGTATTCTGTGGTAGTGGACCAACGTATCAAACTGGGTAAGGCTCGTGCCTTAGCTGATTGGAAGATGAAGTTAAGGGCTTGGAATGCATGGAAGGCTTATATCTGGCATATCAAATCTGATAAAGAGGCTCAGGCTGYTGCTATGGAGATGAAAGAAAAACACAGGTAACTAAAGATATTATGTTATCTAGTATACAAACTGCTGTAGGCATTTTATGTTGCTTGAATATTTTACGAATTGTTTTCTCTTCTAGGAAAGAACAATCGGCCATACATTTTTACCACAGACATCTTCTTCACCGATGCCTCAATTCATGGCAAATATTCGTACATCATTCTAAACAAGAACGAGAACTAATGAAACAACAGGAACAGAAGGCTAACAAAATGGCTGCACTTCTAGAAGCTGCAGCAAGTGGTAGGCTATGGAATCAAAAAGAAAAGAAAATGAAAGATAATTATGAGATCGATGACAGAAATGCTGAGCTGTCAGTCCAAGATGTAGAAGATGAGGAGATTCCACTTCCTAGTACAGCTAGGAAAGTGGTAAGTATTTTACTCCTTTATGTACCTTGGGCATAATATTTTCCCATTTCAGACCACATGTCATCCCCTAGAGTATGATTTCTTTGTTTAATGGTTATGCATGACAAGACACAAAGATATAGATACAACTCAAACAAAGAATCTTATTGTCGATAGACATGGTCTGAAATAGGAAAACATTATGCCCAAGGTAAAGAAGTCTGTTATGCTAGTCACTTCTTATTTTATCCTGTAAGACATTCATTACTTAACTGCAACCTTTCTTTATTGCATTTCTTCCATCCCAATGCCTTTCTATCCTTTCTTTCTCATTTTAAGGCTGCATTTTTCATAAGCAGTTGGCCGCTTGGTGACTGAGAAATGTATGCCGCAACCTTCTCCACAACTTCCTATTTTTCAATTTCTTTCATTCACAGTCATTCATTTTATTTTGTAGAATTCCAATCATTCTTTCATTTTGTTATTTCAGGATGAAATATTTTCAGAAGGACCTCGGAAAGTAAACACTAGAATCATGAATTCTGCCCGAAGCAGCTTAAACGAAGAACGTGTTCCAGGAAAACCCTTGACAAATGCTTGGGGTAAGCCACCCAATAATAGAGATAAAAACACAAGATATAGCCACAAACCTGCTTCAACTGAACATGGCAATGATGTCCAAAGACTGCCTCGTACGAAACGAAGAACATTGAGTCACGCAGACAAAGTGGAAGACCTGAGATCAAAGTTAAAAGAGCGACAGTCAAAAAACAGCGACAAAAAGTTACTAACAAGGAGTAGATCTGTCGAGATGCTGGTGGAAAAGAAACCCAACACTCCCCACGGAAGAGGGGATGGGTCTGCTAGTAACTTACACGTAAAGGATATTGACGGTAGAGAGGAAATGGAGCTGTGGTCAGACTCGGATACCGACAGAAGTTCAGTGTCTAATAATAAGCTTTTGTCCAGGGAACCAAAAATCAAGTCAGATAGACCTACCACGAAGCCTATTCTCCTTGGTGAGTATGTCAGGTTTCTACAGTTAAAACCTTATTTGTGCATAGAAAATACAATTCCTGATAGCATAGTGTGCTTATCATTGAATCCAAAGCAATGGAAGAACGAGCAAGACTCAGGGCAGAACGAAAAGCAGCAATTGATGAAAGAAAAAGAAAACTCGAAGAAGAAAAACTGGTAAGCAATACAGCTATTTGAAAAAGGTTGGTGAAGGTCTTGTTGCTTGTTGCATGCTGCATCTTGTTGCAGACTGCATCTTGTATGCGAAGCCTGAAATGCACTATAGGCGATGTGAATCCAATCATTAAAAGGCCAAAAAGCTATAGAGGTTTACCAATTTTTGTCTTCACGTTTTACCGGCATATTTTCTTCTGTGCTGACATTATTTACATATAAATATAAAGTTATGATGGCCAGATATTTTGAATATTTTAATCGTTTTTGCTGTTTTTATAGGCCAAGTTACGACTCGAACAAGAACGTAAAGAATTAGAATTTTTGAAAGAGAAGCAAGAAATTATGAAAAAGAAAAAAGAGGAAAAACGATTGGAGCAAGAGGTAGGTAGTTTACGACAATGATTTTGAATTAAATGAAAAATCTTTAAATTCTTGCAAAATGGTGTTCATGAAGTCATGTGCGAAAAACCAAAAAAAAAAAAAAAAAAAAATGGCGTACTCTAAATTCATCCAGAAATTTGACAAAATCAGTATTTCTTTTCTAGATGGAACTTGAAAAGAAGCGCCGACAAGATCATCTTCGAAACCTCAACTCCCTAGCAACCGAACACTTTAACAAAACCTTGATGATTAAGTATGGTATGTCGCCATGGAAACAGCTGGTTGCTATGGCACATCAGAACTTCTCAAGTGCCGTGGAGCATCATGGTCAGGCACTAGTGATCACGTGTTTTTACCCGTGGTTACAATACACTAGACAAAACAAGGCCAGCAAGGAGGCGGCTGCTGACCAGCTTTATCGGAAAATAATTTTAAGGCGAAGCTGGAGGTCATGGCGTAAGGTTTGTGATGACTTGGTAGCTGATTGAAAGTTGTTCCACCAATCGGAGCACCGCGTATTATTTGAAAGAGGAGAGTTTCTCGTGGGGAAACCACAGTACTATGGACAATTACTGACATAGCAAACATGTTGCATTATGGTCTAGCTTGGGTAAAAACATCTTTTGTTCATCATGCCTTATATGGGTGTTGTTTATACCGAATCTAGACCACAATGCATCCTGTTTATCGAACTCAGAAAAGGTCTTCTCTTAGCCAATCAAATGCTCTTGAGGTACACACCATCGATGTTGGTTCTCTTTGCTGGTGGCGGTGGTGTGGACAGCAAACAGGCTTCCGAAGCTTCGAACGACGTTACGCAAAGAGTCCAACAATTATAAGRCATGCACGTGAAGTTAAATTATACTGCTCCGTGCTAATTAGTTATTCAGTGAGAATAGTTTCTTGATGATTCAATGCATAAATGGAAAGGCTCATATAAATCCTTTTTTTTTCTTCAGTATGGTCAACACATGGTTCGTCTTGATGCAGTCGCTGAAGATTATTGTGCGTCATACCTTCTGAAAAGATACTTCCATATATGGCAAGACTATGTAACCAATGAACAGATTGCATTATGGCAGAAAGAACAACAAGCTGACGAACATAACCAATGGTAAATTTAACATTGTCCCCTTTTAAAGAATTTAAGCTTTGATAAGAATCGAGGCTGTAAAGCTGAATTTCTATTAGAAATCTCCGTGTCTTCTATAAATAAACTAGACGCATATCTGCGTGAACTCGGGGTTCATAGCAGAAAATCGAAAGAATTCTTCGTGAACACTGTCATCCTTCTGACGAAACCTTGAAAAATTCCGCCATTGTTCGACCATGTGCTTATGTGGCGCATACTACGCAAGCGCATAAAACTTGCGCATGCGCTTTGAACGCAACTGCGATTTGTGACAGAACGCAAATAAAGCCCAATTTATACCTCGGGCATTTCTTTGAAAGCCCGAGTAATAAATAAATAAATATACAAGTTTTTGAAATATAATGAGTCCTTTAATGCTAGGACTCATTATATATCTAAAAATTATTGCTCAGTTTCTGCTCTTTAGCCTGCGTCACATCCGAAATTTTCTTCGTAAATACCAATCTCGTACCCAGAGCCCTTATTTCTTACTGCGCATGCTCGACAGTTATTTCGTCGAGCATGCGCAGTAAGAAATAAGGGCTCTGGGTACGAGATTGCGTAAATACTGAAGCAAATTCCGGATGTGACGCAGGTTACTGTAGATATATATATTACAAATGAATACTCCTTGTAACAGGCTTCTTCATAACAAATGCGTTTGACTTTCATTCCATGTACTTTGATTAGATTGGCTCCTTTTCACCAAACGAAGGACTGGAAAAAAAACATCACCTCCCGGGTTTTTTGATATAGCAAAGGAAACCCATCATGGTAATTCCTCTGTTTAATCCAATATGGCGGCACTGCTTTCYGATATAATCCAAGACATGAAATATGTATTTTGTTTCCTTTCTTGTTTTGTTTTCAGGCGTTTACAAAAGCTCGCCATCACATTCTGGAAAAAACTGATTCCAATGGTTGCAGCTGAACGTCAGAAAGAAAAGAGGAAACTAGAAATGAGAAAAAGAGTGCAGGCCTGGTTACCAGACTTCCAGTCTTCACCTTTTGATTCGTCGCCGTAGAAACGCGTATTTATGGTTATTAGATAAGTTCTTCAGATAACTTAAAAGTGGGTTTTCAAGATGGGCTCCCTGTGGTTTATATAACAACTATGATATAAAATATTTATTGCTAAATCCATTACATTTTAAATAAATATTTAATACACACCGAAAAACATTTGACCTGAAGATGCCAATAGTCATATTTTAAGGAAAATTATTTAAAAGTTTTTAAAATGTTGACCAAAAATGAGGTGTCAAAAATCTGTTCTACGCTCCCTCGCTTTCCCGCCTTTTTCACCTTACCACGCTTTTTAAAATTTGCCTGATATTTTCTTTATCGAGTGTTTGTTTTCTTCAAGTGTCTTTTACGAATAGAATAACCATGTCCACTAGCTTTATTACCCTTCCTGTCTGGTGAAGCGGTTGTCTTGTGACTGTAGGTCAGCGGTCTCTCCCTCCTGAGTCGAACCTGTCGACCAGCCTTATTGACGCCATCGTTAGTTTTGGATTTTACTCTCAGTCTTGTACTTGGTGTCGTGTTTTCTTTTGAGGTGCTAGCAACGGGACTAGTAACTGAGGATTTAGTCCCCTTCAAATGAGGCTGTTTTTCTTCTTTATAGCTACCGGAAGTGTTTGGTTTATTCGTGCCTTTGTCGTCGGATTTTGATGACTTCTCAATGTCTTGCTTTTTCTTGGCTTCATTTATTCTTGCCTCTGCAAAACTGGTTTTACCGGTAACCGGCTCAATATTTGTTGTATGCGATTTTTTGGCAGATTTGCCGGATTTGCTCTCTTTATCACCCTTCTTCCCAGACTTCCCAGAAGTTGAAGTTTGTGTTATGTCGCTCGATTTCTGGTCTTCCTCCTTCTTGCTTTCTTGCCAGTTTAGTTTGTTTTCTTTGGTCTCATTTGTTATCTCTTCTTTCGTCTTGGACGAATCTTCGTCACTTTTCAATTTTTTGTCTTCTGTTTTCGTTTGTTTCCTGGTCTTGTCTTCGTCACCTCTCTCCTTTGCGCATTCTCGTACTTTAATTTTTTCCTCGCTAGTTTCTTTCTTCGGGGACTCGTTTTTTGATTTGATTTCCTTTTCTTCTTTCTGCTCGTCCTCCACATCTTTCATTAGCGTGGTTTGACTTCTCCCTGATTGAACAGCAGTTTCTACAGCAGCATCCAACGATGATCTTCTTCCCTTACCAAATTCCACTGATCCCACCTTTCCTTTTGATATTCCTTGCTTCCTGCTTGGCGTCGGCTTAACTTGTTTCTCCTTGCCATCCATTTTCCCATAAATTTCGGCAAGTGAATTCGCGTTCTTAATTGGCGTGGGGATTTTTCTTGATCTATTTGGCGTCATTTTTCTCACAGTCTTCCTCGAGCCTCTAAGTTTCCCTTTAGTGTTGGTGTCTACCTGTGTTCTATTGAAGCAGCTTGATACAAGAAAGGGTGTTGGATTGCATTTGAACTCCCCTAGTGTTAACAAGTCGATACATGGCGGGCTGTCTAGCAGTAGCGCGTCACCGTAGGTATCATTTAGTGTTTCAAACTGCATCCCCTCGCTTCCATTGTAAGAAACACTTTTCAGGAATCCTTTAAGCTTTCTCAACCGTCGTTCATCTAGATTAAAATTGGAGGAAACTAAGAATGATTTAAATTCAACTTAGAAACATCTCTCGTTACTCCCAAATTGTTTAACTACTATACCTGCTTCTTTAATAGAAAGAGTATTTCCGCTTGTAGATTCACGATTATCCTGCACATTTCCTGGTTTTAAAAAAACGAATTTTGACACACACATGTGGAAAAGCGCACAAATGTCGCATATCTAAAGACTCGTTTCTACTCGTACCATTCTCAAATTAAATCAATAATACCTGGTTTCTTGGGAGATATTCTTCTCATCATGTTATTGCTAAATCCGTTATCTACTCATTTTTTACCTGACTCATCTCAACCGGTTTTTTTGAGAGCTGCGCGCGTTTTTCAGTTGTTTGATCGCGCGCTATCACGTAAAACAATAAATATCCAAAAAATATCAAATTTTCCCACTTCATCCGTTATAATGCGATAAATTAATCTTAAAACATGTAGATTAATCTTTTTTACCTTATTTTGAAAGGGACAATTTAAGCGAAATGAAAAAATGGGAGAAAAGGAAGGTTCTTATTGAGGACAATTACTTCCTGTTCCGGGTTTGATTGTTCATGGAGACGAGGTATTGATTGACCAATCAGGGATCGTGTAGTTTGGCGGGGAATTCGTTTGGCGCGGAATAACCAAGCGACTCCATTCAAGCTTCGCCAACAAAGGAACCAGGGGCTTGCATGGAAAACCTTTGGTCTACTTGACCTCATATTACTATTAAAAATGTCCGTTTTAAAAGATAGAGCCAACTTTAACAACATCATTCAAGGTTTAAGACATACCAGGACTTCAGATGACAATATTTTTGTTTCATTTTCGAGCCCTCGAGCAGCTGGAGCCGAGCAAACGACAAGAGCACAGACACCACGTACTCCTCCTATCATACGACTCCTCTCCGAAATATCAAATGAAGAAGATCTTATGGACTCTAGTAATGCATTAGAAGAAGAATTTGGTGGATTACCTTCAGTTCTTCTTACACCAACTAGTCCTAACGATGCAAAAAGCTCAAAATTCAATATTTTGGACTCTAGTTCGAGCGCACGGCCGAAGAAGAAGCTTCGAGTAGACAACCATGGGTCTAAAAAGTTGTCTTTGCAAAATAAGTTGCAAGGACTTACGAAGTCTCAGCTTATTAATCTTCTGGATACCTTAGTATGTGATCGGCATCCTGAACTCGAAGAGGTGGGTGTTAGAAATATCTCCGCTGAGCTAAAATTTGTGAGTTTTTATTTAATTTATATTTAAATGCGCACGAGTTCTTTTGTTCCTTCGAGCAGAGCCACGCCGATGTTGTGGTCTTCTTCGTAATAATACTCTTTTATTATTGTCCTCATAGGAGATTCAACAGCTGGTTCCCGAACCTGATCTACAAGCAATGGAGGCGAGACTAAAGACTCTTAAACGAAGTATTTACAAAGCGTTCCCTCATCGAGGAAGCCATGTTGGGTCAACAAGAGATTCGTTTAATTATCGAAGAGTGCATTCGCATGTTATAGCATTCAAGGTTTGTGCCGAAAAAAATAATCTTCACAATTAAACAGCTTGTTTTAGAATTAGAACTAGATATAAAGGTGTAATCCTTTTAAAAGATTACCTTTTAGATTTAATGTATATGTATTAATTATTCATTTCTTAGTTTAGTGCCTAAAAAATTCATATTTATGAAACATTGGTAGATTTTTTATGCATCATTTATTAATCATTGATTATTATTATTTATTTAAACAGAAGGAATGCATTGATCAAGGTAATAATCTAGTTACCTCAGGTTTATGGACAGCAGTTATGGAGTATGTTCTGATGGCATGGTCAAATGTTGACGACCTCCCTACATGGGACAACCCTGCACATAATACTAGCAAATCATCTTGTTTCAAAACCCTGGCTGTTCAGTTCCAACAAGCCTTATCGAATGGTTCATTCACTATACAAGAATATAAAATGTTTCAAACAAGGTGAGCCTAAAAGCTAGAGTGCCAACCCTAAAGTATGCCATATCAGTATTTTGGGGAGCTTTTGAGATATCAAGCTTATTCCAAACAATTTTCTGGTTTTGCAACAAGAACCTTGGTGAACCATAAGGCATGGGAGGGCTTACTCAAATATAGAAGACTATGCATACAAATAAAAGTGGTGAGATTGGAAAGTTCATTGGATATACACCTATTTCAGAAGTGGTTGTCACACCAAAAGCCTCAAGCAATAAGCCAAGACCGCAGAAAGCATCGGTACTTTTAGCTGTAATTAGTTTATTCATGGTGCATTTTCATTCATTGACTTCACAAATTGCTCCAAGCAAGGCTTCTTGAGATGATAATTAGTGGAGAGCTATAGCCACTTGCATGAACCAAGAATAAATCCATTAAAATTAAAAGTACCGATGTTCTCTGGAGCCTTGGCTTGTTACTTGAGGCTCTTGGTGCGACAACGATTTTCGAAATAGGTGTTTATGCAAAAAGTAGAGGCTATTGTCTCACTTGCCGTCTCAATCCAGGGTCTCTTATTCTCGGAGTGCAACTACATAACCCAAAATTCCTTGAGATATAAATAACAATGAAACAACTGCCATCTTGGTTGATTCAACAAGAGAAGCTAATGAGGAATGCTTTGTTATCGTCAACCAACATGGTGCCTATGACGTAACAAGCACCCCAAGAATATTAGCATTTTATTATCCTAATAGAATAAAGCTTCCAATTCTGGTGGATTAGTTGAGCCTATTTGTTCAAAGTTTTGTGTTTGCTTAGAAATGATATAGTGTTATTTTTTTTAGCTCTAAAATTATTTATACACACTTCTTCATTTGTAACGATATTTCCTAGTGCTAGGACACCTAGTTAAATATTAAATTTTTATATCTTTTTCCCCCTACAGACTGGAAGAAGCCTGCTCCATAAATAAACACTTACAGCCTTGTTTAAGGCAAGTCAATGAAATACTAAATTAGTGAAATAAAAGTAGATTTCAAAAAATATATATTTCTAGCAAACACAATTTTATATTTTTATACTTGAACTAGAAATATGGAAGATTTTATCTTCATTTACTTTAATTTAGATTTTATGGTAGTTAGTCCATTTTACAATTCAGTATTTGTATATTTGTCATACCATTCAATGATAAATTATTTTCTTGGTGTCGACTTAGGCATCAATCATTTGTATAAACGTCAAAAATCACAATTTTATGTACAAATTATATCTTCTTTGAAGAGATTTGTGTAATGGGTCTGTAAATGTCAAATTAGGTCAACAATTAGCTTGACCTTGAAGCTATTAGCTATAATTTTTTGTAGATGTACAAAGAAATAATCCAGAATAAAAAGTATAAATAAGAACTTGGTTGTTTTCCTTTGTCGAAGCCTTGGTTTTGAGTTTGATAAAAATGAAGGTTACTGGTTACTAGGTTGGGCATAATGTTTTCCCAATTTCAGACCAGGTTTCATTCCCTAGAGTATCATTTCTTTTTTTAACAGTTGCACATGAGAAGACACATGAATATGGATACAACTCAGAGAATCTTTTCATCAAGATAATGAGAAATGGTCTGAAATTGAAAGAGATCGGTTTGAAATTTTTTCTGAAAGTGGGAAAATACAGTAGAATCAATGAATAACAAATGTACTGCAAATTTGTAATCTTTAATCCTTCACATGATATATAATCTAATACAAAAAGTCATAAACTATGTTTTAAATAGATTATCCTTCAACAATAAATTACTGCTAACAAAAAGATAATTCTCTTGATTTCTGAATTCATGGTTCAATATCTAACTAAAACATTCCTTTCACACCTTAGTAAGGTTAGCACATGAAATGACACAGTTAAGCCTTATCAAAATTATCCTGGCTGTAAGAATAACATGACGAAACAAAAGAAATCAGTGGTGCTTACCATTTACCCTGGAAATCTGGAAATTCCAGTTGGAAAACAAATGGTATGTATCATTCCAATCTGAAAGTTCCAGAAAATTTGGTCTTCTGATTGAGGTAATCCACTTTTCCCGCCTTTTCTCAAAATGTACATGTATTTACTGAGCACTCTAGTGACTGTCCTGATTTCTTTTGTATTTCAATCTTTGTAGTGCCTGTATTGTTTTAGTATGATTGTATTTTTCTAGGATTGACTGGTACAATATCTCTGCCTCATCTGACTTCCCATCTCTATCCATCACCTGTCCCACTAGGTACTTAGCCTCTGTGTTGTGTTGGTCATGTGATAGAATGAAGGATAATTCATTTTTGGCCATCGCAAGGTTACCCTGTTGAGAAATTGATTCAATTATTACAAGTTTTTATAGTGATCAAACTACCCCTGACCTTCTGACCTTCCCCTTATTTCATCATTATATCATTACAGTGATACCTCTTTAACGGACACCATTTATTATACGATCAGCTAGTTACACGGCCTTCGTCCCATATTAACTCTAAAATGCATCACTATTCAAAAGAACGGCATTCTTCCCATGTTACCGGCGTTTGCATTGCTACGCGGCAACCCCAGACAAAAATCGCGACGTACACTTTGCAATAGACTGCCGTCAATCAAACACGTTGACGCCATTTACACGCGTGTGTGATTCAAAAGGCGCCAAAACTTGTCGGTTGTTTACAAGTATTATGAGCCACACTCACCGGGCCGATCCAAACGCGTGTAAATGACGTCAACTTCTTTGATTGACGGCAGTCTATTGCAAAGTGCACGTCGCGATTTTTGTCTGGGGTGGCCGCGCAGCAATGCAAATGCCGGCAACTCTAAAATGCATCACTATTCAACAGACACCTGTATTAGTTAGACACCAAGCAAGGTGCCCAAGGTGTCCTCTAAATATCATTGTATAAGCAAGAGGTAAGCTTTATCATGTCTTACTCGTTTTAGGAGAAGTTTAGCTGAGAGTAATCTTGCTTGGATGTCGTTTGGTTCGTAGCGTAAGCCGATGTGTAGATATTGTTCAGCCTGTAGGAGAATATTACGAAAACAAATATGACACGAGAATATCACGCACCACTTCTTCAACTATCATTTCTCATTCTTATTTTTACTGCGTTATTTGACCCACCGTTTCTAAGGTCTTCAATGAGGCGCTGTCTGCCGGATCATCGTTCATTGGTTCAATCAATATTCTTGCCACYGCGAAATAAGCTTTGGAATGCGAGGGCATTAAAGTGATGCTCTGTAAATAACAATTCTTGGCTTCCTAAAAAGAAAATCGTAAAAAAGTATGTACTGAAGGCAGTGTAGCTTTGAATTTGAACTTTATTTTGTATGTTATTTGAGAATGTGAGGAAATATTCTAGATTTTTTACTCGTGTGTGAGGAACGGTACTTCTGCGCGCGCGCAAGCGATGCCGGATAAGAACGGGTCATCCACTGTAGTTACTGATATTACACTGAGAATGAATGTACTCTGGTAAAGCTAGATGCGCAAACCGGTAGAAAACCGCACTACTCGCACACAGAATACTCTAACAAAAGACACGCAGCCATGTTGGACGATATAACAAAAGAGACTAACGACGAATCTTTTGTTAAATTCATCCAACATGGCGGATGTGAAAACCATTAACACTAACCATGTTTTTTCCTAGTTTCTCCAGCACTGAGCCAAGATAAAAGAACAACATTGGATCATCAGCTCTCGAAGACAATGCTCTTCTGTAGTGAATCTCTGCTTGCTCGTATCGTTTATCGAGGCGTAGTAAGTTCCCCATGTTGGTGTTAGCATTGGGACTGTTGGGATTGATGGACAATGCTTTGTTGTAACAGTACTCGGCTTCGTGGGGACGGCCTAGAGAACAGGAGATAAATATCGAAAGGTGAGGACTTATTTTGCCGATATATAGACCTAGCAGATTTGGTGCCCTGAGTGCAGGCTGGAGTAAGTACACGAGGTGGAAGCCCTTGAATAGAGTCCCTGCCTACACCTAGTCACAATGTGCGACATCATGTGCGCAATGCAGGATTTCCCCAACTTGGTAGCTTACACATTAAATTTTTCTAGGAATAGGAAAACTGGTCGAATAGACCCCTTGTAGCACTTAGGAGTGCAGCTCAATCTTGAGGACAAAACAATAAGTTCCAATTCTCAGATAATAATTGCTTTTTTTGTCCCCCAGACTCCGCGCGGTGCAGAACGTACTGCATTGTCTTATAGCCGCACGTGTCTTCATATCAGAACTAACTCAAATGTCGAAACCATTCGTAACATGAGCCATGCCACCGCAAGTTTTCAATGGATTTTCTAATCGAAATATTTTATTCACAGAAAAGAGAATGTATACATAGAGAAGGAATTTTTCTTGTGATATTAACCTGTGTTGAGTAGGATGAGTCCAACGTTCACCCATGCCAAGGTGTAATGGGGACGAATCCTCAGCGCCTCGCGGTAATGACCTTCACAAGAGCGCAGACCCTGACGACATGGACAACAGTTAAAAGGTAAGCCATTCGTAAAGTGAATATGCGGGGTCTAGGGAAAGTACACTTTTTCAAGAAAATAACATTTGAATATTATGACTCTCTAAAGAAACCAAAAAAATGTGCTTGGTTCTTGTGCACGAGACGTCATTTTTGATATGTTGCTGTTTTGAAATCAGCCTTTACTTGGACTTAAGAATAGACTTTACTGGGGTTATACCGGTTTCTGATACGTGCGCATACCTTTTTAGCTAAGTAGTTCCCCATACAGAGATGGATCTTTGCGTTGCTAGGGTTGACTTTGAGTCCAGCCGCTGCTAGGGAGCCATCATCTTGCCATTCCATGTTCCTATGCACAATCTTGGTTGCAAAGATAATGAGCAAGGCATAGAACAACACCGCACCCTTTATGGATAACCCTAGGGTGAGCAGCGAGGAAACATCTTGCTCCTGCAGACAGAGATTAGAGAGAGAGACATTATTTGTCAAAGGAATATTAAACTAGTTAAGAACTGATGCACATTGGGGCTTTGGGTTATTAATTAAAATTTAAATCAAACACTTGTACATTTTCGAAACATACGAGAAAACAAAAATACTAGAAGTCGTACCAGGTCCGTCGTTCGAAAAAAAATTTTAAAAACTTAACTTCTTGGAGATGTAGTGTTTCTTTCAGAATGTTCCTGTGCATTCCAAACCGAAGAGGGGATAGTGGACATGTACTTAGTAAGCCCGCCTTGATCAGCCTCCGTAATGTTAGTACGAGTCAAAACAATATGAGTTTGAGGATGTCGTTGTACGTATAGGATTTATTTATATAGTCTATCCTTTTTCGTTTCAGTCTTCTGCGTCGAGTTTTTAAAGCCAGAATAGACCGTTTTCTTAAGGTTGCGTGCGTATCCAACTTGACGGGTCACAAAACTGAAAAACGCAAATTCAGTAAAATAATCCTTTTTACAGTTCCATTCAGTGACCATGAATAATAGCTCCTAGCCAAGGCTGGAGTTACCGCGCATAACAAAACTACAGTTTATCATGCGCGGTAACTCCACCCTCGTCTAGGAACTATTGTTCGTGGTCACTGAATGGAACTGTAAAAAGGAGTATTGAGAAGACAGTTTTATATTTAAAGAGGAGAACAATCGATTTTATGAATTCTTATCGAAAATTTTTTTAATAGCAATGCATGATAATACTCGTGTTCTGGTATCGTGGCTCGTCAAGTTCCTTAAGTTTGGATGCGCACGCAACCTTGAAAAAAGGGTCTATTGTTACACAAGCTTTCAGGACATCGACCCATACATGATAAGGGTACTTATGTGAAAAGATTCTTACATCAAAGGAACCAAATAGGTAATTAAACCATAAACCATATTAGAGTCAGTTTACCTTGGCAGCTAAGTCTTGTTCTGTGTTCTGCTCTGTTTCATGTCTCCTGAATACTTTGCTAATTCCAAGAGCTGCTATGATGCAAAAGCCCATACTGGGGATATATAAGACACGCTCTGCTACGACAAACCCTACTGGAAAAAATAGGTTAGAGGCGGGAATGAACGGGATGATGAGCATAGAGAGACCTTGGAGTATCGTCCTTCCAATCAGCACATCTGAAGAATACTGGAAAAAATGAACATACCGAGAAGTATTATGGAAATATTATATGAATACACGACAATATGATTTGATATGTATATGTTAGACGCAGTCAGGCTGAGAGCAATGTTTTTTCCTTTCAGACCACGTCATTTTCTTGGATGTTGTTTTCTTTGTTTACCAGTGTCCATGACTAGCTAGTGACGTCATATTTCAAAACGTTATATTATAAGAGAAAAACCTTCCTCAAGAATAATGCATGATGTTAACAAACTTGATAGCCTACTTTACGCTGGACGTTATTTCTCAAGTGTCTTGTCTTGGAGGCCTTCTCTTGAACATTTCTATTTATGTCACGTGATGTGGTTGTCCCAATAGCCACTGCGGTGTCTTTGTCGTCTGCGTGTTGAGACGAGTAAGACTGGAGACCTTTTAAGAGAACAAAAGACGAACCGAATTATTTTCAGTTTTTTGGGATGAGAGGAAATAYATTGTTGCATGGGGGCTGAATGATGAATGAGTATTTTCCTGTTACTCCCCGCATCCAAAATAATTTTGAAACAGGGTCTCTTTAGATCTCTATCTTAGCCAATCCAATTCTCGTTCCCAGATCCTCCTCGGTTGTCGTTCCTCCCCGGGAAACCCTACAACCGGAAGCAAGGAACATTGCGACCACTTCCTCACAGCACATGCGCGAAGTCTTTCCAAGACAAGCAAGCAAGGACAGGACTTTGGCTTTGTGAAATCTACAAATTGCGAACAAAAACATTTGATTATTCAATCAAAAAGTAGATCTATTGTTCTTCTTAAAAGCCAATCAAATCGCGAGAATTTGTAGGGTTTCCCAGAGCCTCTGACGGGGAGGAACGACAACCGAGGAGGATCTGGGAACGAAAATGAGCCATTCCGAGGATTAGAGAAAACCTGGGTCGAGTTGCAGTGCATTTTGGGGCTGTTTTAGGGTACGAAATAGACGCCATCTTGTAACAAGAGAAAAACATCTAGTTCATTTTCTCTCGTAGGCTCCTATTGATAGCAGTTATACATTCCATGTAACTGAAGGGATTACCCTGTTTAAATAAAAGTGTTCATTCATTCATTCGTACGCATTACCTTTCAAAATTAAAAAGGCTAAAACAGCTATAAAAGAAAGCGTGGTTATGTTTCTAATGTCACTAAATGTTTCTATCCTAGCGATGCTGTCCATTGACCAATCAAAGCACAGAGTGTTTGGACACACCAACAACCACGCATTGAATGCACATAGATACAAGTACGTTCTAAATCGAGTCCACAAGTCTGGATTGAAGAAAGTTGGGTTGTCAGATTCAACAAAAGTCTTTGGCGCTCCTCCACCTATCACCACGATTCTTATGTACRGCAGTGCTACACAACTGAGCATGAGTAATGAGAGTCGTTCCGCAAGACGCCGCGCCCACTTTGGCCACGACTTTAAACTGCAAAGCAAATGAGTGGGAAAAGGTCAGTAAACGCAATAACATTTAATTTTTTACACAAGACGGATAGTGTAAGATATGAAGCGTTTCTGATTTTTTTTAGTTTTGTGTATGAGAATGTATTTGTACTGCGGTTGTGATGTATCAAATTGAGTTGATCCTCGCAGTATATGAAGCAACTTATGCAGCTGCATATGGTTTTTGTATTTTATCATATATTTTGGACAACATGGATCGCGAAAGGATGGTTCTTTGACGTGCAATCTTATAACGAGGTCTATACTATTTAAGGCCCTGTTACCTTGTGAAGCCGCTTTCAACGAACGCAAGGGCGGGGCGTTGCAAGAGATACATCTTCATGATAAGTATTGAAACGTGTTAAATGCGCGAAGCTCGTATGAACGATTCTTGGCTAGAAAGGTGTACGTCAGCGCAGCAAGCTTCACAAGGAACTACGCTGTTACACACTCTCGCTATATTTATCTCGCGACATTTTTACACACAGGGTTTCATGCAAAAGTGTCTGGCAACTCGTAACATTAACGAGGCCAACGACACATGCAGGGTAGTGCAAAACAAGGATAGCAGCAYCCCCTTTAAGGCTGAACAAAATGCCCAGCCATTCAGATCGAACCAGCATGTAAATTTTCATCCGAGTAAAAGCCAGTAGAATCTTAGTAGAATATTAGCTTACCTTTTAAGAACAACCAAGGGATTCCTGGCAATAAACACAACATCCTTGGGTTGGATGGTGCAGATATACAGTACATCGTACACTATACATACAGCAATTACAGTTATTCCTTGCTCCTTGCTTAACATTGACAAAACACAGAATACGATACTCATTACAATCCACGTCCATGAATGACTGCTAGTTCGACTCCCACATGGAGGAGGAGTCTTCAGTACTATTGATTGAGTATAAGAAAGAAACGATAGTATATAAAACAACGCACAAAGTAAGTCGGCTCGACCAACCACACTCGACACAGCCTCGGTATGAATCGGATGAACGGCGAATAACAAACCAGCCAATAAGGCGCAAGTATTCGATGACGTCAAACCACGAAATAACACCACACAAGTAGACGTGAATAAAATAGTAACCACTCCATGGAGACAAATATTGACCACGTGATAAAAAGTCGGGTCCAGGCCTCCGAAGATATAATTCCATCTGAAGGTAATGATAGTGACGGGTCGATAGGACTTGTGGGATGTGTTACTATATATGGAGTCGCCCCAGAAGTCGTGTTGAAATATTGACATTAACGGACTCTTTGGGCTGGAGAAAAACAAAAACAAAGCATAAAAACAATAATAAATCAACTAAAAGTCAATTAAATTAAATTATTCTTTCCCAGACTCAGGCTCTTTGAAGCAAATTATTCAACTGACCTTTGAAATTCGAAATATATTTTTTAGTCTTCCGCCGAAAGTAAAACTGAAGTGAATGAATGAACTCGGAATTGGGCGAGTTCCGCTTGATTTTAAAATTCGTTGACTTCATGTTATGGTGTCTGTGAGAAACATTGAATGGATGGTTGAATGTGTACGCCATCTGCTAGTATGACAATTCATATTAACGATTTACTTTCTTCATCACAATATGGGAAATCCACTAAACTTTAAGACAATATATCACGAGCAATGCTCAAATCGAAATTTGGTCATTTTCTTCATCATTCTTTATTTTTTCATTTTGTCAAAATCATTAATAGCCGATCATAGCTCGATTGATTATCCTTGAAAGCACTTAGATGCGCTTGGATTATCCTTGGGAAAAGTCATGCTTAGTTGGTCGAAGCCGTCTCTAAACTGAATTAGTATCATGAATAAATGAGATCCAGCGTTGCTTACTTTAAAAAAACCTAAGATAACAAAATAAAAGTACGCTAAAAGACAACGGTTTACTAGTAACAAGTCACGTGCGAGACTGAAAAGCCGAAAAAGAATGACTCTTCAAGACGCTCTGGGTATTTTACAGATAAACATACAAAAAATACTAATAAATATATACACAATAATAAAATAACAAGTACAAACAAGCGATAATATTTATACTCAAGCAGGGAAAACAAAAAGCAGAACCTTTACGGAAACAAAACTGGCATGAATAAGTCAAAAGGTTTTTATCCAATATTTGGGTTACGTCTCGAAAGACACAGAACTGTCAAAATGTTGTTTTTATTTTGGGAGAATATTTTCTTATACTGTCGAATGAATATTTCTCGGAATAATAGAGCTAGACAGAGTAGCTAGCGTTATATAATAGAGAGGGGGGAAATGAGGAGAAAACAGGATTATATGAAACACCATATTGAGCTACTTAAAATAAAATATTCAAAAAGTTAGACCGTCGTGTTTGTGCAGTGGAACTCCAATAGATCACGAAATAACATTTCTGATAAAGGTCGAAGCGTATACTAAAGTTATCAATCCATATGTTATTTATTTCTTTGTAGATTTTAGAATTTCTTCCTACTTTTTGTGTTTTATTTATTTCTGAAGCAGGTGTACTAAGAATGAGTTTGAATTTTAAATAATTCACGCCAGTGAAGTGACAGCAAGATAGATAATGTACAAAGTAGGTTTCTCTGGCTAATTCAGAATTTTTTAAAAATTTTGATCTAATTTAACCTTTGGATATAGCCTCCTAACATTTGACTCGTAGCGAAAAAACACGAAGTAGAATTGGTATCGGCTTTAACTGAGCTAAGTTGGTTTATTATAAATAGTAATTCTTACTCGGTAAAAGGTGATACAAAAAACAGGTCAATCACATTTTAAGCCTAAATATGAAAACACGTTTGTGTCGTGTATTTTAGCAACATTTGATTCTTTGCTTTCTTTCAGTTCAATATTTTAAGTGTTGTGAAAGGACGTGTTCGATTTTTTTGTATCGCGTATTCATCACGCTTTCTTTCACACAACATGAACACTCTCATGATCAGTCTCGCGTTGAGGATGGACCTTGCTTACCTGATATCCACATTCGTTACAATCACTTCATGGTCATCAAAAACAAACTCTCCTGTCAAAGAGTTAGCATAGCATAAAGTCGATATAAACCATAAAATAACGTAGATCTTATACTTTGGGATTCCTTTCTCGCGATTGTTTGATATTTGGGAATCTGTTTTTTCAGGTCGACAAGAGTTTAATGTCCGCGCCATATCTATGCTCCATGAAGCCACCCAATATCTGGTAACACATTCTCTCAAGGACTTGTTGGCATAGCAACCATATAAGATCGGCAAAATTTGTGAATTCCGAAAGAAAGTTGTCGAATACTTTAGATTCTTCGTATTCTAAGACGGTTCTTCGTATTCCAGTCCACGAAAATTCATTTCGCCGATAGGTATATAACCTTTACTGATTCCATTGTTTAAATATTATCTGATTGTAAATAGCATTCATATAGCATATGAATTGTTTAACAAGTAAAGTTTTAATTAAAGAGAAAAAAACTAAATAATTGATTGCTGCTGCTTTAATCTTCTAGTTTAGGTTCATTAGGGTAGGGCTGAAATCACTGAAATTTCATTATCCTTCTCTTCAGACGAGCTAGATAGAGACAGGGGATTATGAATAGACTTACTAACCAATCAGGCGTGATCGGTGAGCCATCAAAAATCAGTTTCTCTTTGAAGAATGCACATGTCTCTCTGGGTYAGTCAAAATATGCCAAATCGGAGTCACTGACATGACAATTTAAATTGAATATCGTAAACTGTTGATGTTTTTTAGTATTAGCATGAGCCTTGAATGAATGAATTTGTCAGTTGATGAGCGAATAGCATCGAATGCATTGGGTTTTCATTTTTTTAAGTCTTTTGAAGGTCAACAGTTTAAGTGCTCGATATCAGGGAGTCGTGAGAACTTCTCTTGTAGCATGGAGGACTGTGATCGTATAGCCACGGCGCGTATATGATTAGAATAATATTAATCATCATCATCAACATTATCCATCGATCGTCATCGTCATCATCATCACTATCAGTCACTCGCCAAAATCAGTATCGTCACCATCACCAAATCACATCGTTGTTATCATTACCATCAATTTTTTTTCAACCTTCAAATTTTATCGATACCCTGAAACAACCATTTATCATTAGTGTTGACTTCATCACCCCATTATCAGATTGACATCATTATCATGTAGCATCATCAGCATCTTTATCATCACCCCATCATCTGACTGATCGTTGTCATCATCATCATCATGCAACATCGCTCAACATCAATAGTGGTAGCGTAGTCATCACCCGATAATAATAATAGTGATTCCCTCCACGGTCTAAGGTTTATGAACCCCACGAGAACAAAAACGCTTTATTTCAAACAACAAAATGAGAAATCATAAAAGTTAATAGCAATAATGTTTTCTTTACTTTTTTCCATTTCCATTTTCAGGGGAAAAGAAAGACAAGAAAGGTAAAATACATGGTCTGCAGTTTATAACCTTTTAATTAATATACTTTTAAGTATATTAGCTTTAAATATTAAAATAATTAAAGCTAATATACCTTAGCAAACTATATACAAACGATAAACATTAGTAAACACCCTCTCTATATTATATCATCATTATATGAATAATATTTTTATGTATACAAAGTTCCAATGATATATAGCTCCTTTGTTGTGAAGGAGGATTAGAATTTTATGGTGCTATGCACAATACCGTGGCCTCCAAATTAACATTTTGAAAAAATTCTTGAATAACATTGCCATAAAGCTTTTTTTCCTGCAGCTGGGGGTTGCTTCAAAATATTTTTTTCCTAAGTTTCTAGACGTGTTAAAAAACTATTGGTTAGCAATGAGTGCACATACCAGAAAGCTCTACACATGCAGTGGGTAGGCATTAATAATAACGGCAATGATGAAGGGCCTATGTTCCCATGGGAACGAAAGGAATAAGCAACAGGCATTGGTAAAATATATATTTTATGAAGTTTCCTGCAGATATAATGGTTTTCTGCCAAGTTTCCCTCTACGTTACAGGTAGAAAAAAGAAATGCTGCATTTGGAGCTATATAATATCTATTTGTAATGACTGCATCTGACAAAACACAAAACCTTACCAAGTTAATTACATTCAGGAGTGCTATGCTTTTATAAGATGCTTTTATAAGCTTGAAATATGTTCCTGTTATATGTAAATAGCTAAATAAATTATTATTTTAATAATAATATTGTTTAATTTATTTAGTATTTTTGTCTGATGCAGATAGCATATTATGACAGCCTTGTTACCCTAAACATGACATATCTTAACCCATTGGCTAATGGGATAAGCTGAATGGATAGATGAGTAGCATATAATTTACACACTTTATAACTCAGTATAAAAATAGGATTTATTGCATTGAGGAATGCATGTCATCTCACAAACTGGGTTGCAAGGCATTTTAGGCCTTTCTCATGTGGCAATCATGTTGGCTGTGATAGTACAGTGGTACCTCTATTAAGCGGCCACCCTCGGGACCGAGCCAAGTGGCCGCTCAATAGAGGCTGGCCACTTAAATGGAGATAGTACAAGAAAAGTCATTAAACTCACCAGATAACCAAATAATGGCGAGATAATGCTATTATTGATTGTGCAGATTAAAGAATTTCCTGTTGTAATCAATTGTCACAATCATTAATATAATTTTGTGGCCACTTAATAGAGGTAATAATAGCATTTGGGACTTGTAAATAGTGGCGCGGCCGCTTAATAGAGGTGTTAAATACAGTACTTGAGTGACAAATATTTTGGGACTTTGAAAAGTGGCTGCCATATAGAGTTGTGGCCGCTTAATAGAGGTACCACTGTAGTTTGCATGTGTAGTTTGGAGTGGCTGACACAGGTGAAAGGCCAAGTTTGACACCATGACCTCCATTCTATGCCATGTCATGAAATATTATTATGATTATAGTGCTTTTTAGGGTTACTGCACAACTATTCAATTTTGAGTTTGCGCATGCACGAGCACTTGATGACAATTGATGATGACGTACATGACGCATTACTAGTGTGCAAAAATGAACACAACATATTTTTGGAATACAACATTAGCCATGTTTCTTATCAGTGTGCAGTGAAATATCAATGGTTTCTTTCACAACATCGTTTTTTGACTGCCAAATAGGCCWGTATAAATCTACCTAGACAAAGTTTTCCTTGTGTTCAAATCAACAAATTTTAGTTGATAACATCAAATCTATTTTGCACCAGCTTTTTCTGCCTTATGATTAGTCTTCAGATATGATATTAACTTGACTTGACAACAATAGAGATTTTGCACCATCACGTGTTGGTGCCCATAATACAGCTTGGACTGCCTGTGGTTAGATGACAGAACAATAAAATCCCTTTGCTCTTGGGAATTGAGTTCTTTCTCATGTAAAACATTTGTATTAATCCTACCATCTAACATGGCTGCCGTCACATGATGGTGCGAAACCTCTATCGAAGATAGCCTTAGTTAGATAAACTGCAACACAGCTACTGTGCCTTATTTATTTATTTAAATTTGATATTAGTGGCAATACTGGGGCCATGCAGGGGTTGGGTGGCACAGACTTTCTCACCCCAATAATTTGAAATTGCAAGGAGACATGCCATGACAGTGTAAAACTGCCTTCCCCTCAGTGTAGTTAGCTAGGCCCTAAATTAACCCTTTCACTACTAGAGAAGCCAAAAGCGGCCAACCGGAAATGCTACATTTTTTCTAGAGGAGTGGCCAAAAGTGGCCAGCGGAAAGAAATTTTTGCTTTTCAATTACCCATCACCTAAGACATATATTTTTCATTTTGATATTGAGAAATAAAAAAACACCCTAATTATGTTCCTGGAAGAGCCTGTGTTGGACCCTTTTAACTTCTAGTAGTGAAAAGGTTAAACCTCTGCTCCAATCTCACACCTGCTATCCCAGGCACAGGAAGGTACCAAAAGACTCAGGGTATGAGGTTGCCTTTGATCCTGATCATTGCAGAGGCTTTCTCACCACAGTGCATCTCGGTCCCTAAGAATGGGAGGCACTAGTGCTTGCTCAGTTGATTTTTTTAACCACTTCAAAATGGAAGGTCTAAAGGGTTTCTTAGTCCATAAATGTTTTTGCAGGCTGACTACATCACGCTAGTGAAGTTAAATAATACATTTACCCTGCTAGAAATGCAAAATTATATTATTATATTACTATTTTACAAAATGAAATAAAGTGTATTGAAGAGTCTTCTTTAAGAAGAACTGCACTCAACTCTTCCTGGTAAATCATCATCGTCATCATCTTCCTCCTCATTATCACTCAGTTCAGGACTATCACTGTCATCTTCTCTAGCACCTCTTCTTTCCTGAAGAAAAGATTTTAATCAATTTGCACTGTCTGTCAAAATATTTATCTATGTAATATAAAAACTGAAGGTGCTGTTAGACTAAGCAATGCAATTGGAATGAATTTTTGCTATGAGTGAAGAATGTAGAAGGGGTAATACACTAGGTGATGTTTCAAAATTGTGCCACTAATTGTTGAAAAATTGAAACTGTAAAAAAACAGCAAAATGCTGCACTGGGCAGTTTATGGTGCAATATGGCAGAACAATAATTATTGTGAGTCATGCTGCAAGGAACATTGCCTGATACAGTATAAAATAGATCATTTCTGAGACAGCAAACATGGTGCATTGTGGTCTAGCTTGGGTACAAAATCTTTAGTCCACCATGCCTTGTATGACGATGCTTGAACTGAAGCTAGACCAGAATACACTTTTTTCTATGAGGTCTTAGCATATCGTCCATTACAGTGCAAATTGAAAAACCATGGGCACCTAGAAATACTCTAGGAATGTTCTATTCTTCTTTGGCCAATTAGAATTGACTTTCTAACCACAAGATAACGAAAAGAGAATAACGCTTCTGATTGGCTATTGAACATTCTTGAAATATTTCTAGGTGCCAAATTTTTTTTCTATTCTCACTGTAAAGGTCTTTTGTACAAGAACTTACCCTAAGTCTCTGATGAACGTGATGCATCATCAGATATATTAGATGTTCACTTATAGGATCATGAGGTCTTAGCCTATCATCCTCGCGGTCATCTTTATTACTGTCAATAAGCTTCTGAAGTCCACTCAAGTCATTGGGTTCTTTTGCTAGGGGAGCCCAAATCTTGACGTCATGGTCCAGACCACTGGTGGCCAAAAACAAAGCTGAAGGGTGCGGCTCCAAACAATTGACCTTGAGCAAAAAATAATAATAATTAATATTACATACAGCTGTAATTATACGTTTTACTCACTCTCTTGCAATTGATAAGCCAAAAAATTTAGACAATCCTTGATAGCACATAAATTTGAAATGTAAATGCATTATTTGCAAGGTTTTCTGCAGCCTATGGCTTTGGCAAATAACAAACCCTCAGTCTTGTAGAAATAGACCTCTTTAGCCTCGTTGTTTGTTGTCCCATTTCAGAACATGTGATACCACTTTTGGGAGTTGATTCTTTCATAAATGTAATAAATATTTTAAAATGTTCATCATAAAAGAACAATTCTCCAGGGAATGTCACGTGGTCTGAAATGGGCAATTTGCATACGGTAAATTGAGAGGTCCTGATCCAGCCAAAATTTTAAGGGGGGCTTATTGAGTTTAGAGGGGGGCTAATTGAACTTCTTCCGTCAACACAACGGAAAACAATAAAAAAGCATCTAATTCTTCAGTTTTGTTTTGTTTCTTTTTCTGCCCCCCTGGATCCGCCTTTGAGGTCTATTGACAATAGGATGCTCAAGCTTACCACTCCAGTTTCATCTCCCTTCATGTACTGTACAATGTCTTGTGTTTCTTTATCCCACAAGAAAACATTACCACAATCACTTCCACTGACAACAAACTCACTTCTTGGGCCAAAAAAATTCACTCCTTTTACTGAAAAAAATGAGAAATACTTATTAAATCTTTGATATCAGAGAACTTGTCTTAACAATACTTGAACTTTTTTTTTTCATACCAGTTGCATTGTTTCTATGTCCTTTATATTTCTTTATATATTCAGCACCACTACTAAAAATGGGACAAGAAAAGTCATGTTAAATCTGAGGTCAAGCCCACACAAATGCATTTTTGAAACACCTATTTTTTCACCTCATTGAAAACACATAGAAAACTTCAAGTCAATATCACGCTTTTATTTTCTGATCGGAAATGATGCAATGCACAGATTATGAAAAGTATGTAGAGTGTCTGACACCTAGCAAGCTGCATAATCATTGTACAGAACTGATCACAGTATACAGTCTGTCATGGTCATGGCTTGTAGAATTCAAACGATACTTACCTAGAGTATGAATCAAATAGATAAATGTCTTCATCATTGTAACTAACTAGAAGTTCTAAAAATCAATTTAATAATGATAAATAAATTTTCTAGTTAACACTGTATATAATTTAGATATCTAAATCACTAAAACAATGTTTAATTCACTACAGGGGAACAAGACTAAACAGCTGATAAATAGCCAGACATGTTGACCAGCCTTGTTAGACACAACAACAACGTGACCACAGTTGATATGACTTCAGGGCTGTCAACTCTCCCRGATAAACCGGGAGTCTCCAGATTTTGGACTGTATCTCCCGGTCTCCAGATTAGAGTATCAAATCTCCCGGATAATCCCCGAAGCTGACCATTCCTTGCGAGACTCGACTTTCACAATCATAAAATTCCAATTATTTTATGTCGTTTATGTTATTTTACATCGCTGAAATCAAAATGTTCCTCATAAATTGTTCTTGCAAGCAGGCCATTGTAATATAAATGATAATCTGATTGGTCAGAAATAAACCAATCACATCAAATGTTACAAAGCGAAAGACGTCTTTTCGCGTGCTTTTTGATGCACTGTGACGTCATGTCCCTTCCCTATCAATTCTCCAGATTTGAATATCTATAGCCCTGTGACTTGCTTAAGAGGTGTTTTATGATATCAATGTAAACATACCTGATCCATCATGGGAGTATACTAGACAAGTTATATTGGCAAAAAAGCTATTATTCTCTTTCTGAAAGAAAAACAAAATTTAGATTTAGAATGCTTGACTCCAGAAAATGCCTATACTACAATATTATGGCTTAGTCGCTTATAGATCCTACCTAAATCCTAAGACATTATTACCACAGAGAGATTAGAAAATTCCCTCCCCCATTGTCAACCTCCATAAGAAGAAACTTGCAACATAAATAAAACCCTTTTAAAAATAGCTTATCTAATGTGTACATTTTGTTGTGAGAATTGAATGTCAAATTTTCCTCCTTAGAATAATGCAGTAAGCAAAAGATAAGCATAACGAGCATAATATACGATAACATATAGCAAATAAGATAAAGGTCTGTTGTTGAACAGTTCGCTTAATTTATTACCAAATGGTGTGGACAGTAGGATTTGACTGGTTCAATATAACTCTTGTGGTCCTACAAGAAGAGAGCAAGATTACTGAGCATGAGTGACAGTATAGTACGTGACTCTTAGAGCAGGCTATGTAAACATATACTATCTGAAAGCAAATATTCTGCCAATTCATCTGAAATTGTCCTCCTTGGCCGAGAATAAAATCAAAAAGGTATTCCACTTACCTGAGGTGCTTTTCTCCTGTCATATATTCTACAAATTAATAAAAACAACATTTCAATATTTTTAGATAAATAAGCTTTTGAAGATATAAAGAAAAGGCTTGACACCACAGGTAAGCCATTACAAATTCCATACATTGTATAATATTAAATGAAATACAGTAAAGCCTGGTTCACACTTGCATCAGAATCGTAAGCAACATACAGACTCAGTATTGCATTCATCATTTAGGTGTGTAAAAAAGACAAGCACTGTTAGTGAGCGGTACACTACTGAGTCTGCATGGTGCTATAGTGCAAACCAAGGTAAGTACTGGTACACTACTGACCTAGCATACTGATCCCTGCCTCCAACAGCAAATTCAAAGACATTAGAAGGATTGATGAAGATGGTATACAAAGGGACTTTTTTGTGTTCATCTGCTCGGCAACAAAATAACCTAACAGTATATAATCCTTGGTTAATATTGTTGTTTATCTAATATTCTAGTCAATTGCAAAATCATTGTTGTGTTCAAAACATAGAAAGTAAAGGCTGAGACTGCAGAGATAATACATGGGATGTATGGTAATTAGAATACATAAAAAAATGCCTTAACGTGGTAATATTTTGCTTCACAACCTACTTCTTTGCCCTATCCTCCCTGAGATCCAGCTGATATATGAGACCATCCTCTCCGCATGTGAGGAACAGCCATGGAGAGCCTGGTTCAATGCTTAGCTATAAGAGAGAAAAACAGCAATGATGTTAGGGACTAGTGAGGTGAGGTTGTTGCAAATAAAGGGGTCACTGATTTTAATCATTTACTTTATTTTTCCTACTCTTAAAGATACAAGGGTTTTTTGCCAGGTTTTCATATCAAGGGTAGGGGGACTGGGGAGAGGGAAGGGGAGTAGCACTATGGGACTAGGGAGAGGGAGACTGAGGGAGCTACAATCTTGGACAAAAAGAGTTGAGAATTTTTCATTCAATCATGAAATAATAGAATTTCCCTTTTTTTAAAAAAATTTTGTCCGTACCCCCTCCCCAGGACAATGTTGGTCCCAGTAGGTAAAGCAGCCCTGTATCCCTTGAAACAACATTGTTTAGGGGGGGGGGGGTCATTTTAAGGGGAATTTTTCATGAAAATACCATTAAAACTAAACATTTCTCAACATTTTTGACCAAGATTGTGGCTATTTTAAGGTAGGTCCTTCAGTTAATATCCTCCCTACACAAAAACCCACCATTCATCTCACAATCAGAAGGCTGTATGTTAGATAACTCTTAGTGGTTACATATTTTTACTCTCTTTAAGATAACGGCTATTTATTTTATTATTATTTATTATTTATTTGATAAATACCTTGTGAGCAGCTCCCCTGTGTTGTGCCAACTGTCTTGTTTCATTCACAGTGCCAGTGGATGGTACTATTCCAACTCTCACCTAAAACAAGCATCCATGTAACTTTCTATGACTTGGCTATTAATAAACAAATTTTTTTAAATTTATAAAAAAATTATTGTCTTTAAATAAAATTGCTTTGATGCCTAACCATAATGAATATTATTTTTCTTATCGATAGACGTTACTTCTGGTAATATATGTGCTTTCACTGGGGGGCAACTACTGTAATGTTTCATAACCTTGGAGGACCTTGGAGGTCATATGAGTATAGTATTTCTTGATTTCTGGTTTCAGAGGGCCACAAGTTTATTAGCGTAGTACACTATTTAGTGCCACCCTCATTAAATAAAGTTGTTATTATTATAGACAGTAAAAATAGTCAGATAAAATACTTTATGACTTATGTTGACATGATTCGACTAAACAGTTGATAGTTGCATATTAATTGCCCTACAGTCAACTCTAAAAAGATATGCCCAATTGATAGCAAGCAATTGTGTGAAGACAAATATTTGCAATGTTGTACTTTCTAAGTTCAACAAACAGGTCGTTTTCTAGCTTGTGTACAAACAACATCATATAAGGTGTGATGTACTCAAGCCAGACAAGAATACACCACTACAGACATGTCACAGACCACATTTTATTCTCACAGACAATATAAAATTATAATTGGCATTTAAATTCATTAACATAATGAAATAAATAACAGCAAATCTCTAGGTCAGAGAGTCGTTAAATAATTTGTTCCATAAAATTCATCTGCAATATCTAAATGCCATATTAAAAAGAAAATTAGTGGCAAATCATGTACTTTAAATAAACAAAGTATCATTTTTGCATATAGTCATACAAATAATAAAAGAATTACATAATAAAAAAAAAGAAAAGAAAAAATAAAAGTACCTGTCCATCTCTCGCACATGTGACAAGCGTGGAATCGTTGGAATAAGGCATAAATTTTGCCTGAAGGAAAAAGTTTTTGTATCAGCACAAAATCTTTGAAGAATGATTCACCTTTATGTTGTTATTTTTAATAGACAATATCCTACACAATTCAACACCAGGTTTTTAACTCGACAGGGAGATAATAGACTTTAAATCGTTATAACTTTACCTGGAAAACATTACTTGAGTGTCCACTATCATAATTAACGACTTTTCTGCTCTTAGCCCAATCCCAAATAACGACATCCAGATCGTCACTTCCAGAAGCTAAAAGATCGCCCGAATCATTGAAGTGTAGTGTGTTCACACATCCATTGTGATGTGTTAGTGTCTTGTGTTGTTTTAGCCTGCTTACGAACGTGGTCGACGCGCAAGCTTCTTTGGCAAAGTTGGCAGGATTAAGCAGTCCCTGCTGACGAGAATACAAGCTTGAGATAACAGCCCATTGCTTCCTGGATGCCGTCGAGGGCGCCGCCATGTTTGAGTCGTCTTTGAGTTTTTGGTCCAGTTCTTCATGTTTGAGTGTGTGATTCTCCGTTTCCTCTCGTTCTCCATCACTCTTTTCTTTCTTTCCCTTGCCTTTACCTTTTCTCATGGTTACTGCTTTCAACAGCTTTAATCAAAGCCTCAAGTGAGGCCCTGAAGAGGAAGAAGTTTGAGATCCAGTAACATTTATACTGTTATTTTGTTCAAACATATATAACACTACTGAGGATTTCAACTCTGCAAAATAATAAATAGACATTCCACGACCATAGTCACGTGCAAACGAACCTTTCACGAGCTCGTTCCGATGGAAATCCGAACAGAACTCGTAATCCAAAATGGCGGTAAAACAGGAGAAAGAAGGTCTTGAGGAATTTTTGAACAAAGTGGACGAAATAGGTAACAAAAATTAATATACATCGTATTAATTACCAAAAACATATTGTTTACCTCAAGTTCTACTGCTCTAAGACAGTTGGGCTTGAAAATATGCCATTTTTCGTTAAAATATTCCTGATAGTTTTGCATTCATATAAATTGACTGGAGTCATTTTGAGTTTTCATTCAAGTATCATTTGCTTGTTAAAAATGTGCTTTCTTACTGCGCTTTGTTTTGCGTAATAATATTCATTTGTGTGCTTTTGTTTGAAAATTTCAATTGTCACAGACAGTGTCTAGTAACTGAGGGTCCCATGAACTAAAGAATTGTATATAGTTACCAATGGCAACCAGGAGCATGAATTTTTTTTTTTGATAAATATTAATATAAAGTGTAGCAAGGGGGCATAAAGCGCTAATTTTCTAAGCTTCAAAGTCACAAAAATTTGATTTTGAAATTACCTGGCATATTTGATTTAACTTTTTTTCATTTTTGCCATTCCCATTTGACATTTCATGTTGATACCCTATTCGTACCCATTTATCATTGTATTTTGCCTTTTTAGTCTTGGAAGTATTTGAGTAAAAGTACCTTCGTTAATCTGCTAAAGGTGGTGGTCCTGTGTTTTCTCTCTCTCCAGTTTTAATCAATAACAAATCATGTGATCAAGAAGTGATGGAGCGATAGAGCCTCTTAAACCCAGGTTAGATATAGGAAAACATTATAAATATATAAACATCTTTATTATTGGTTTATAGAGTCCTTAATTAAAGGGATGACATCTGAAGATGCCTCGTCATCAGAAGCAGCAATGAAGGAGGCCGACAAGTATATGAAAGACCATGGAATTAAAGATGATGATACCATCCTAGATACAACACGTATTAACAAACAAGACAAGCAACAGTCAACATATGCAAGTGAAAAAGTAAGTTGTTTCACTGTTAGATATATCTCATCTCTGAATAAAGGCATGGGCTAGCTTATATCCCACTTCTGACGCCATGTTTTGATATATGACCAAGTGACACATATCTCCTTCATGGAAGGCATGTTCAACTCTGGTCACTTAGGTTTTGTGTGATTTACTATTTGCATACTTGAAGTATATCATAGAGTGCAAACAATATAACCGTGAAACTTTAGTAATACTAAATAGTATAATTTCATGCAAATTCCATTGTTTTCTATTGTTTAATTAGCACTATTTTGTGTATTATTAGTAATTAGTGTTTCACGGATTAATTGTTTGCACTCTAACAGTTAATGACAATTATCACAAAAATTACGCAGTAATTATGACAGTGTTTAATTATATACATGTAATGTATTTTTAATTAGGAGAAAGAAGTAGTCAATTGTAGTCCAGGTATGTATTGTTCTTCAAACAGCTATTTCTAATCTAACCTAACTATCATCATCATCGGCATCGCCTACACTATTGTCATCATCAACTTTTAAATCACCAACACCAGTTTCATCATTACCATCACCATCATCTTCGTCATCATCATCTTCACCATCATCATCATCATCATTGTCATCATTAGCATCTATTTTATCTTCACTATCATTGTCATCCAACATTATTTTCATAGTCACCACCTTGTCATCATTCACCATCATTACCATCCCATCATTGTCATCACCATCATAATTATCACCAACATGATCATGTTCAAGTACAAAATGCCTTTTCCTTTTCATAGAGGATTTTATGAAGGCTGTTGAAGAAGATGCAAAGAAAAGAGCAACTGAAAACAAAAGAAGAAAAATGAAATGTGAAGAGCTGAAAGAAATGGGAAATAAAAGCTTCAAAAACCAAGAATATGAAGAAGCAATTAAGTTCTACACAGATGCAATAAATGAGATGAAAACAAACACTGCAGTCTACACCAACAGAGCACAGGTAGGTAATCCAAGATAGTTATATTACCTTAGGGTACCTTAGGGATGATGAATTTTTAAGACCCCCACCCTACCCCCGGAAGTTCCAATTTTTTCCATACAAACTAATTTTGTTCTTTCTCTGACCTCTCCACCACTCACAAATTCCAAATTCCTTTGGGATGGGGGGG